TTTTTTTAAAAAAAAAAAAAAAAAAAAAACAAAACAAAAAGCTTAATCGTGACTCACACGTCCTTATTCTAATAAAAATAATAGACACATGCAAAATCTCTCAATTCATGATAAACCAACTTGGTTTTTATTTTTAAGGTTAAAAGCCTATAGAAATTTCCGTAATGTTTATATATCGCCATTAATTGACAAACGTAATAATTACGATGACGACAAAGCGCGGAGAGAGAGAATGAGCAAGTTAACACCTGCATGACGCGAGCGTATAGAACATAGGTACATTATGTAGGAAAAAAAAAAAAGGAAAAAAAGAATTACAAAGGAGAACCTTCGTCTTCTCCTTTCTCCTTGGCCTCCTGTTTCTCTTATTACTCCCACCTACGCCCTGCAACGCTCCCCTCTGATCTGCTCTTCTTTCACGTATACGCATGTATGTATTCACTATACAGTTTGACCAAAAGCAAAAGAAAACACAAAAGAGAGGACGGAGAGGAGAGAGAGAGAGAGAGAGAGAGAGAGAGAGAGTTGTTATTTAATTTTTCTCGAAATTGCGTCAAGAATAAGCTCAAAGCACTCTGCAATCGTCGGACTATGAAGGCATGCAAGTATTTAATGATAAATAATCATTCATCACGAAATTAATTGCATGATGCACGATCGATCGAACAGCTGAGAAAGTATATATTATATACTATGGCAAAGACGACACTGGATTGATGAATGCAGGAAAACAAGTGCAAACGAAGCAACGTGAAACACTGAATGAGTAGGTAAGTAAGTATACGGAAGGGAAGGAGGGAAGAAACTGCAGCACGTAAACATGTAAATCCCTTTTGCCTTTTGTTAATGCAATTACGAGAAAGTAGGTACACATGAGTACTTATACGTCATAGCCTCGTACCTTGAATATTCAAATGTCACACTCGGAACGTCCTTCGCTTTTCCACTTAGTCTAAAGAAAAAAAAAATAAATAAAAAATAACTAAAATCAACAAGCATCAAGATCCGCTTGGTTGTACTCGTTTAGCACAAGTTAAACAATAACCAATACTCGGAACACATGCACATTACAATATACACAAGTAAACGAACGCGTCAACGCGCTGCAGCAGCGAGTTGCGTACTGACGTACTGCAGCAGGCCACGATTTTTTATTCTCTTCCGCTACAAGAGAATCGGAGTCGGAGGGGAAGGAGAATGGCACACACGAGGCGGGAGGGAGCGAGTATAACGAGAGGAGGAGAGGGAAAGTGTTGGCCACAGCTGTGTGTAAAACACACGTCTACACAGATATACTGACGTTTATATGCACATGTAGCAATGCTAGCTCTCTCTTTTTATTTCTCTTTTTTTTTTTTTTTTTTTTTTTTTTTGCCACTGGTGCAATCTTTAATTATCTGCTTACGGGTAAAATATACGCACGTATGCGAGCGTTTTCGCGGTTGTAAAAATATCAGTACCGAGTATTTATGCGATGGGCATATATATGCGCGAGTTCCAGATGCTGCCCCGAGAGCTGATTGATTTTTTGGACAAATAAAGCGATGGCCGGCGAAATGGCTTGGGTGTAAGTATTTATGGGAACCGACGCGGTGATGATGGGGAAATACAGATGGTCGTCGAACGGTTTTGAAACAACGCGATATTTTTAGTCGTTACGGCCCTTATACAACGGACAGATTAAACAATTAATTTTGCGTACGATTGCGTTATTGTTTTTTTACTCGACGAGATCGAAGAAATGAAAAAAAAAAAAAAAAATACATCTTGCAATTGTGTTCCATTACATGTAATAAAACGCATATTATGCTCTGCGATGATTGAGAAAAAATAAACTGATCAAATTAAATGCACAAGTTTGAATCGTCACTCGACGTAAGTGGTAGTACTTAATCAGGGGAAAACGAGAAATAAAAAATGGCACTCGTGACTCGCAACAATGAACAAACAGTATATACGCCTTACTTACATGAGTGATACAAGTACACCCATTGTACTCGATACCTATACCTGCCAATATCCTCAATTTTGATCAATAGATAACAGAACGCGATTAAAAAGAGGGAAATACTACTTGTACGACAACGCTGTAGGGGCATTTTGGTGCATCTATAGACTTGCACGGAAAAAAATTTATGACTAACACACGATGTATACATGTACATTCATTTTTCGTTTCCTACACCTACACGCATAATATTGCGATTTGTTAAACGTCAATGCTGATGCGATATTGACGTTTTTCCCCGAGAACTATGCACATAACATCTGCAACTCATCCTTCATCTCGTATGTTTATGGGCGCACAAATCTATAGTGATTTAGTGAACGTCACATTTTCCATTCAACAATTCCAAAAAATAGAAAAAAAATGTATTTAGAGCCAATTAAAAAATAACAGTATAGGTATACTCACGACAGGTTCAAAAGGACAAAAGTCAAGTACGATCGCGAGGCTCGTCGCATAAAACCGCGGCTGTTGACTGGCTTCTAAATCTGATATTATGCAGCTGCACGTATCGCGCGAAGATAAACGCGAGTTTTTTGTTTTGTTTTACGCAAACTCACGTGGGCGTGTGTTAAGTATGGAATAAGAAGATCCGATGAGTGCTCGTTTCCTGAAGAAGGAGAAAGCTTATCATCTGATGCGCGATGCGTTGCTTTGTGCCCTGGGCGTCACTGACCGAGAATGAATCACAAAAGACGTCACTTTATTGTAACGGTCAACCGTTTTTTAAGTTATAGGTTTTTGGGTTTTTTGCGTATACGGTGATTGTTGCAGGATATGTTATTTTATTCATTTCGCAATGATGTCGAAGGTGATGAATAATCAGCCCGATCAATCGAAAGGGACGTTTATGTAACATAAAAATAAAAGATTTTTAAATTAGAATTTCCAGCTCAATCCACAGAAACAAAAAAATTAAATATCTAGCATTTGAGAATCCTTTTTTTTTTTATTTAATTCACTGGGATTTTGAGGAGAAACAAAAAGGTCATTTATATTGAGTGACGTGGAACTCCGAATTCTCGAATTGATTAAATTAAACATAAAAATGGTAATTCCCTTGTGTATCATTTTATTTATTTGAAATTCAATGAAATGACGATATAATTGATTCGAGGCTCGGATATAAATCACCGCAGTATTCAAAGAACATTTATATTTCATAGGAGATAATTTCATTTTAGGTATTTTTTGTACACCATTATTTCAATTAAATATTAAAATGCTGCAATGACACGACCTTTTTTTTTTTTATATACATTTATACTGTAATTCACCAAAATTTTACTTGTTGGGACTCTCAAATGTACGTCTACATGTTGTTTCGAATGTTACCTTGAAAAGGTTCCAAAAACTTGATTCATAAATTCATACTTATACAAACAACAGCAACAAAACACCCGAACAGAAGAATTTGTCAAAACACGAAAAGCCAACTACAACTATATTTAATGATTCACGTGACGAACAAAAATATGTCCACAGCGATGATCAATTGTACCACGTTAAAAATCTTTCATCCTCCAATCCTACCCGCACCAATCATGGATTTTCTTATCACCTACTCGATATTATTCAGTTAGTTTATTGACATAAAAACAATTACGTACACGCATACCTATATAGGCACTCTACGCTTGTTTTGAAGATATTGCGTACGTCTCACGTAATTATTTACCGATAAGACGCTTTGCCTTTCAACGGTCAACAATTTATATACATCTAAACACACGGAAAAACAAGTAATAAAAAAAAAACACATCGTGAAAAATCTATTTATATTTATATACATATAGTTGTGGTGGTCGGTCATTTGGCACAGAGCTCGAATAATTGTGCGAATAGCGAAAAAAAAAAAAAAAAAAAAAAAAAAAAAAACAAAAAGCTTAATCGTGACTCACACGTCCTTATTCTAATAAAAATAATAGACACATGCAAAATCTCTCAATTCATGATAAACCAACTTGGTTTTTATTTTTAAGGTTAAAAGCCTATAGAAATTTCCGTAATGTTTATATATCGCCATTAATTGACAAACGTAATAATTACGATGACGACAAAGCGCGGAGAGAGAGAATGAGCAAGTTAACACCTGCATGACGCGAGCGTATAGAACATAGGTACATTATGTAGGAAAAAAAAAAAAGGAAAAAAAGAATTACAAAGGAGAACCTTCGTCTTCTCCTTTCTCCTTGGCCTCCTGTTTCTCTTATTACTCCCACCTACGCCCTGCAACGCTCCCCTCTGATCTGCTCTTCTTTCACGTATACGCATGTATGTATTCACTATACAGTTTGACCAAAAGCAAAAGAAAACACAAAAGAGAGGACGGAGAGGAGAGAGAGAGAGAGAGAGAGAGAGAGAGAGAGTTGTTATTTAATTTTTCTCGAAATTGCGTCAAGAATAAGCTCAAAGCACTCTGCAATCGTCGGACTATGAAGGCATGCAAGTATTTAATGATAAATAATCATTCATCACGAAATTAATTGCATGATGCACGATCGATCGAACAGCTGAGAAAGTATATATTATATACTATGGCAAAGACGACACTGGATTGATGAATGCAGGAAAACAAGTGCAAACGAAGCAACGTGAAACACTGAATGAGTAGGTAAGTAAGTATACGGAAGGGAAGGAGGGAAGAAACTGCAGCACGTAAACATGTAAATCCCTTTTGCCTTTTGTTAATGCAATTACGAGAAAGTAGGTACACATGAGTACTTATACGTCATAGCCTCGTACCTTGAATATTCAAATGTCACACTCGGAACGTCCTTCGCTTTTCCACTTAGTCTAAAGAAAAAAAAAATAAATAAAAAATAACTAAAATCAACAAGCATCAAGATCCGCTTGGTTGTACTCGTTTAGCACAAGTTAAACAATAACCAATACTCGGAACACATGCACATTACAATATACACAAGTAAACGAACGCGTCAACGCGCTGCAGCAGCGAGTTGCGTANAAAAAAAAAAAAAAAAAAAAAAAAAAAAAAAAAATACAGTTATACATCCAAGTCAGCGGAGGTGGAGACACGTGTGTATACATCACATACTATTGAGTAATAACGTTGTTTTGACAACATTATAACCATCACCGAGTTTTGTCTGACTCATACTAATCGTAAAAGCTGATTGTATATAGTGGGAAGGGGGGGGAGGGTCGATGCGAATTAACCGCGTTGAAAAACATATTGACGATAGGTACGTTTTGTACGTGCATCAAATAGATATATATAGCTGGCATAGAGATAATTTGTGGGTAGGTGTACCCTATGATTATATACACGTCATTGTTTGTTGTTTTTCAAATTTTCGCGCTGATTTTGCGACTCAGTTTTTACGATCTGCAGGTGTGCTAGCTGTTGTTGATGTGTACACATGGCTACACGTATATATATACCTACTGCGTATCGCACGAGGTACTTACTTACTTGTTATTTTGCTCGAGATAAGGTCCATCGCGTGAGACGTAATAAGAAAATTAAGATAAACAAAAAAAAAACAAAAATAACAGTTACGAGTGCTTTGGATGTCTATGATTTATAACGTAATACCGTATCATTTTTTGTTTTTGTTTTTGTTTTAAATGGAGTATTTTTATATTCAATAAAAATACTCCACAATAGCTCTAAAGTGTATAAGTACACACCAAAAATGACAAAAAATTTTTAACGAGAGAAATCGAAAGTGGGATACTTTTATGTGGCCACAGATGTTTCGTAAGAGCAACAAAAAAGACTTAGAACAGCCTAAATTGGATGAAGCGGGTGCTGAGAAAGAAAAAAAAAAAAAACGAGAAGCTCAACGCGTTTGTGTAGGTATCGTTGGGAAGTAAAGAAAAAAAAAAAAAGAAAAAATTTGTTACGTAAGGAATATAATATATACCGTTATCTTGTTTGCTCGACCGAGCGAATTTTCGCGAATTTCACCGAAGGCACTTTCGATGAAACGAGACGCCGAAAATAGTTGGTCCGTCGGAGGTAGAAAACAGAATTTTTGGCACTTCGTGTCCGTCCCGAACGACGGAAGAGTTACACGTGACGCGAGAACTCGTCTTACAAGGGACAAGACGATTTTAATGATGCAACACGAGCTTTTCTCCCTCCCGTCGCGTGCACGTAATCTATCCGAGTTTTTTTTTTTTTTTTTTTTTTCCTTTAACGAATGTTAACAACACCTAAACCCATACCTGTACCACACAACTTTAATAGCGTAAATTTTTCCAATACGGCAAAATCCTCGTTTCGACACTCACTGCTTTATTATCGAGCTCGAGTGTCTTTTCACGTATAGCGAAAATTATCGAGTCGTGGGTATAAAATATTAACTTCTGTCGGGAAAATCAGGTAAATTAAGCGGCCTTGAGCTGTCGCCTGTACACAACGTATATATAGATACGTATATAATATACGGGTATGACTTTTATTATTCTGCAAACGCCAATTTTGGCTTGGGCGTGCGAACAGAAAGAGAGAGGCATCGGACACTCCAAGTGGCTCATTATTTTTGTTCGCCACTTGAAGATCGGAAAAGTGGTATTTTTAACTTTCTTTTTTCTTCTTTACATAGAGAAGCGATGTATTAGGTATACCTTTGTATTTGCATTATTAGAACAATGGGTTGGTTCTGTACGAGGTTCAATAGACATGGCGGATCGGAATGACTCACTGTATCCGTATTACGCGTGTGACTTCTTATCTTGCACGTACATGTATGTTGCTTCGTTTTAATAAATGTAAATCTATTTCTGGTTTCGTACTTTTCAAAGGCTGCTACTGATTTGAGAAAAAACAATGGCTTAAGGTGATTCATACTGTCTGTGAAGTGAAAGACGCGATCACAGCTGCGAATCATTTTCAATGAGCTAAGTATAAGTATAATAATAAATTTGAAGAAATTACTTGTCATGGATGGATGGATGTCATGGAAATATAATTATTTATTTGAAAATGACTTGTCCCTTATAGGTGTACGTAAAAAATCATCGATTGGAAAAATAATGTAAGATTTTTTTCTTTATGACCACGAATTTGATAATTAGTTGAAAAAGGGGTAGAAACGGTTTCGTGTGTCCAGAGCAAAAATTTATTGCTTTCCACGAGAAGCTTACGTTAAAAGTTTGATTTCCAAAAAATTATACCACCATTTTCATCAAATTCAGTATTCAAAAATTTCATGGCTATTGGGCAATTTATCGATTTAGTACCAAAGTATCTTAGAGCATCAGTGTCTTTCTTGATATCATCATCAGAAAGTTTCAAATTTCGAATTTTGTAACAGATAAAATTTAGTAAATTTAAAAAAAAGCACGATGTTTTAGATCGCAAGGAATACCAAGGAAACAATGCAAAAAAAAAAATCAAGAGAACGAAACTAAAAAAATACGGAAAATGCATAATAATCATGATCGTATATGTATAAAAGCACGTACGCGTGCACGCATGTAGTTACTTTGTATATATAGGTGGGTATTATATTCTTACGGAGCCACACGAGCAACTGACTTTCAAATGTGTACTGCACGTGCCCGTACATGCGACGAGGCAGACCGCGGCGTGTCCACATAGACGCCTCTTTTGTATTTAACCCCCCCCCCCCCAATGTACATATATGCATAGGTGTGCACAAGTACTTGTACTTGGTCATGAAAAAAAAAAAGACTCCATCCGGCAGATGCTTTGTATAGTCATCTATATACTTACTTACGCCCATACAGGGGGGTATACGGCAAAATCGTAATAGTCGAGATTAGCGAAAAAAGTCGATAAGACAGCGCTTGCGCCGCGCGCTTAAGCTTTTACGTGCACGTATATACATATGCACACTTACTTCTTGTGTATAGGTGCGAAATCGTGCTCAAGTGGTCCTTCTCTCTGTCGGTGCAAAAAAAAAGAGAGAGATTATTACGTCAATTCCCTCTTTTTTTTTTCTTTTTTTTTTCATGCCAAGGGCCAATAGTGCCAATTTCGCGAACAAAAGCTCGGTCGGGCTTTTGACTCGATGTATATATATATATATATATATTTTTTTTCTCGTTTCGTTGCTATTATCGGCGTCATTTTAATATTCCCTCCTGCCGCGGAGATCCGGGTCGATGACACTGCCGCGACGCGGGAATCGATTGCTCAATAAGTGTACGTCACAACCAACTTATTTTACGACTCGGTTCATTTAGCGATCGGATTACTCTATTATTGATTGTACATATACACGCTATTGTTGGGTTTGTTTTTTTTGTCACTTGCGCGCGCGTGGTGATTAAAAAGAGTGTAATTAGCCAATTTTTTGGCGCAATGAGCTTGGGTCAGAGATAAGGTGACGAATCGGTTGCTGATGCATGAATGTTGTGACGTTACGTCTGATAGAGTAGTATTATGGTTTTTTTTTTTTTTTTTCTTTTTATTGTTGAAAAGGACAGTACAACATCGAAAGTAGCGCGCGACTCCATATTTTATGATTTTTCTCGTTTTTCTTTATTCATAGTTATTGAGGCCAACCACACGAAGGCTTACACATTATACCGCGTACTTGCACATGGTTTCTACCTTTTATACTATTCTTTTTCACCGCATACATATAAATACGCCGATATATCCCTACAGTCGTGAATAATGCGCTTCCGCGAATGTATCCATCCATATGTATTGTGAATTATTGCAGTACACTACATGTAATTTAAAAATTGAGGAACGATATAGATCCCCGCCGAAAGAAAAAAATACAAAGTGACTGCACCTACTGATTAATTGTGTATGTTTATATGTACATTATTGATCTTTAAATATAAAATTAAATGAAACTCACGTTACATGAAGCGCCGCGCAGTAAACACCGCACAGACAACCAATTATTTCGGTAGAATAAGTATCTTTTAAACTTTAACAATACACCCACAAAAGGACCGGTCAATTAAATAATTGTTGGCAAAAAAAAAAAAAAAAAAAAAAAAGTCGTGCACCTGCACTCAGTGACATTGATGCAACGCACGTGCCCGACAAATTTTACCGATTGCAAGCCGCATCCCCCGCGACAAAGCCACAAAACTTGACGAGCAAAGTCCCAAGGAGAGAGAGAGAGAGTCCCACTTTCCGTCGGTCGGTCCGTTTGCAGGAAAAACGCGAATTAAAGACAAACTGCCCAAAAGTATTCGCGATCCCGTCCGGCGGACTGTTTTGTTCGCGACAACGTCAACTCGCGCACTAACCGCGCACGGGCTCTAGAGACTGTTATTTAACGCGACTCACGCTCACACAAACATGCACGTGTACATAATATGTGATGTGCATATACCCCTCCTCCACCACTCGCATATTTTACAAGGGAGTATAAGTGGGAAGGTATAACTGCATGTGCATCATATATAGCATATACACACACGGCATCGGCATCACGTAATAACGATCGCGTAATACACAACTTGTCTCCTCCCCCTCTCCTCTATACCCCGGCTAAGCTTATCGCATATTATGCTTATACTATGTTTTCTATTACGACGTGACGTTTTTTTTTTTACATATATCATCTTCCACCCTCTCCCCCTTTGGATGTACATCGTACAGCACAATATGTTGGAGAGGGAGGATTAGGCTCCCTCCACCCCCACCCATAGATTTCCTTTTTCTTTTTTTATTCCAAGATCGAGAGGACGAAGCAAGAATATACAAGAGGAGCACGCACCCACACACCTATACACCAGAGAGGAAATTGAAGGGCACCGCGTTCCGCACGATTTTGGGTAAGTTGGCACGCGACCATCGTCTGGAGGTATACCAAGAGAGAGAGAGCGCCCGCGTCTCTTTCCCCCTTTTGTCGTTTAAGCGGAACTATACTCTGTGCGGGGGGTGTCTCGGTAAGTATAACGTCTAGGTGTAGGTAAATATATATATATATA